CTCAAAATACTTAACAATCAAGCTATGAGGTACCAAATTCTGAAGAAGTGTGTATTTGAGTTTATAGTTGATATCAGCAGCTGTAAATAGGTATATTGAACATGCTTCAACCTTTACTCAAAACCTCAAGCCTTTGGAACCAACCTTGCTCACTCCATGGCAGTCTTGACAGCACCCTTAACACCTTAGCAGCACTGTTTCATTGTGAGTCTCCAAGAATGCATAAACACACAGTAGACTCTGAGAGTAAAATAAGCTTACATAGATGAATCAACACTCAGAGATATTCATTTAATTGCTCTTCACATTTTTCACTCAAGAACAACCTCCTTTTTTAGTATAGAGAATGTATTTTAAGGCCTTAAACCTAACAGCAACTATAGCTTTGCTTTTATACACAAATCCTTGTTGATGCAGCCCTAAAACCAATGGATAGGATTGAGTTGAGGTCCTCCAATCTGTGAGGAAAGATATTCTGACAATATAAAGGTGATAGGACCTTTTTACCCCTTGCCAACTCACCTTCAAAAGCATACACTAGCTCACAAAATCAATATATATATGTATATACCAGAAAAGCCTTTTTGATATTGAGCTCCAAGAAATGTAAAGCTGGCCATAGTCTCTCACTCCAGGACCACTGTGCATGTGTGAGGACCTTCTAGCTTCACACAAAATTATGTAAATACCCCTGTAGATTCTTTTTGACAGATCACTAAAAACATATTGCTGTCACATTGGATAGGACTGTCATAATGAATATTTGAGCTCATATACACAATGTAGCTTCACAGACATATGTAATATTGATATTGAAATGTGCACAAACACCAAAATACCCTTGTCAAGCACTGTAAGTAGATTGCATGTAATGTCATAGAATTTGCAAGCACAAAGAGAGCTGCAGTGACTTCCATGATAATTTAGTGAGCTGTGAGCTGAATAATTGAGCTTATACCAACTTGTATATCCTTAATCAAACCCTAATATATCAACATTCCAATATCTAATTGCTTTGAGCCTTTAGCTTGCATTTTGTCATTAAAAGGGCAAACCTCAAGATATGCATAGGCATCTTAGGGACCAACAGTTTTTTGGTGCAAATAAAACTCTTCCAGTCATTATTGCATTGGACCTTTTAAAGGACCAAGAAAATAGCCTTTTAGCGGTGCTACAAGAGCACAAAGAAGCTATTGGCTGGGTAGTGGCTGATTTAAAAGGAATCGACCCTTCTATTTGTATGTATCACATTCACATGGAGGACGGCGCTAAACCTTCTAGAGAGGTGCAACACCGGTTGAATCCAAACATGAAGGAAGTGGTCATGAAAGAAGTGATCAAGCTACTAGAGGCGGGAATCATCTATCCCATCTCTGATAGTAATTGGGTAAGCCCCACTCAAGTTGTTCCCAAGAAATCCGGCCTCATCGTTATTGAAAATTCAGCGGGAGAGCTCGTGCCATAACGCACTACCACCGGGTGGCGTGTGTGCATTGACTACCAGAAACTCAACTTTACCACTGCGAAGGATCATTTTCCACTTCTATTTATTAATCAAATCCTAGAAAAGCTAGTCGACCAAAGCTACTACTGTTTCCTTGATGGTTATTCCTGCTATAACCAAGTGGCAATTGATCCGCAAGATCAAGAGAAGACCACATTCACATATCTCTTTGGAACCTTTGCTTATAGATGCATGCCCTTAGGGCTAGGCAATGCATCGGCAACTTTCCAAAGGTGCATGATGTCCATATTTTTCGATATGGTTAAAAAGTTTTTGGAAGTGTTCATGGATGATTTCTCCGTCTTTGGATCTTCCTTTGACACCTGTCTCCAAAATTTATCCCTCGTGTTTCATAGATGTAATGAGACAAATCTGATTCTAAGTTGGGAAAAGAGTCATTTTATGGTCCAAGAAGACATTGTCTTGGGACATGTTATTTCTAAAAGAGGAATTAATATCGATAAGGCTAAAGTCGAATTGATCTCTAATTTTCCTCCTCCAAATTCTGTCTGACAAATCCGTTCCTTTCTTGGTCATGTCGGCTTTTATCGCCGCTTCTTCAAAGATTTTAGCAAAATATCCTAGTCCTTGTGTAATCTTCTTGCCAAGGATATTCCTTTTAATTTTGATGAAGCCTATTTGGAAGCTTTTAAGAAGCTCTGTACTCTTCTCTCATCAGCCCCAATCATGAAACCGCCTAACTAGTCTCTTCCATTTGAGATCATGTGTGATGCATCCGATTATGCATTGGGTACGGTTATGGGCCAGCATATGGACAAGCTACCGCATGCTATCTATTATGCTAGCAAAACTCTATACTGAAAAAGAGTTGCTAGCTGTGGTGTACGTCTTGGATAAATTTCGTTTTTACCTTCTTGGATCCAAGTTCATTGTCTTTTTGGACCATGCTGCTCTTAGGCATTTGTTCGCTAAAAAGAGACCAAACCCCGTCTAATTCGATGGATACTCTTACTCCAACAGTTTGACATTGAAATCTGGGATAAAAAAGGGACAAACAATGTTGTCTCTGACCATCTCTCTCATTTACTCATTGAGAAATCCTCTGAATTTCCTGCAGTTCGTGATTCCTTTTCGGATGAGCAATTGTTTTAGATTTCTTATTCAAATCTTCCTTAGTTTACGGATATTGTCAATTACCATGCGGTAGGAAAAATTCCACTCAAATGGTCGAAACAAGAGAAAGACTGTTTCTTTTCCCAAGTCAAAAATTTCTTTTGGGAAGATCCAGAATTATTCAAGTATTGCCCGGACCGAATCATCTGGCGATGCATTCCTGAATCTGAATTCTCAAGTGTCCTAAATTTCTGCCACACACTTGCAAGTGGAGGACACTTCAGTGCCAAGAAAACTACTGACAAAGTCCTTCAAAGCGGATTTTATTGGCCATTTTTGTTTCGGGATGCTTACAATTTCTGTAAGTCATGTGAGCGTTGCCAAAAGCTCGGATTCATGTCTAGAAGAGACATGATGCCCCTGACCCCATCTTAATCATAGAAATTTTTGATGTGTGGGGAATTGACTTCATGTGACCGTTTCCATCCTCTTATGGCTATGAGTACATTCTTGTAGCGGTGGATTACGTGTCTAAGTGGGTTGAGGTGAAGGCTACCAAAACCAATGATCTTAGAGTTGTGGTTAAGTACGTTCAATCGAACATCTTCAGTTGGTTTAGTACGCCAAAAGCCCTCATCAGTGACAAAGGATCTCATTTTCGAAATTGCTATCTCAAATCCGTCCTTCTTAAATACTCCTTCATTTACAAGGTTGCCACACCTTACCACCCTCAAACGAGTGGTCAAGTGGAAGTATCTAATCGTGAGATCAAGCATATGCTGGAAAAAACGGTTCGACCGGATTGCAAAGGTTGGTTATTAAGATTAAGCGATGCGTTTTGGGCCTACTGGACAGCATATAAGACGCCCATCAACATGTCACCATATCGACTTGTCTTTGGTAAAACTTGTCATCTCCCAGTAGAGTTAGAGCACCGCGCTTATTGGGCCATAAAATGGTTCAACTTTGATCTTAAGTAAGCCGGTTCTACTCGCAAATTGCAACTCAATGAGCTTGAGGAAATTCGAAATGATGTGTATAAAAGAGCCAATATCTATAAGGCAAAAACTAAAGCATTTTATGACAAGCACATTGTCAACAAGTCTTTTGCCCTTGGACAGAAAGTTTGGCTTTTCAATTCTCGCTTGCGACTCTTTTCCGGTAAACTCTGGTCATGGTGGGATGGTCCATATGTTATCTTATCCGTCTTTCCTCATGGTGCAATTGAACTTCATGGTCTTACCGATGGATCTCTTTTTAAAGTTAATGGCCAATGACTTAAGCTTTATGTTGATGGCATTGTCTCGATCTGAAAAGTAGAGAAAGTCCTATTGACGGACCCAATTTACGAGGATTGATGCGAAATTATGGTCGTCTAGCTATCCACTTTAAATTTATCACTCATGGGAAGCAATTCTTTCAACTTCCAAGTTTCCCTCTTCCAAGTTGCCCTAGCCAAGAATTTTCTGGAAATTAGCTAAGTATAGCCAAAATGTGAACTTTTCCAGAACTGGCACGAATTGCGTTCCAAGGTCACTTTAGGCTTCCTTAGTCATTTTAAGGTCTCGGTACCATTTTTGGAATTTTTCAAGGTCAGTTCGGCAATTTTCTCAAAAATCCAAAAATTCACGGGAATTTCGGACCCCAAATGAGAGCTTTTGTAAATGAGCTCCGAATCTCGTTCTGAGGGTTAGACACGGTGTCTAGGGTCCATAAAAGCTTAGTTTTCTAATTGGGTAATTTTTTGACCTCGGCCCAGCCTTTGTTAGGCCAAAAAAAAAAAAAAAAATCACTTAAAGGAAGGTTCTGCCTAGAAGCATGGCGGGCTCCCGCCATTCACCTGCGGGTGCCCCCCAAAAGAGGCAGTGAGTTTGCAATTTTGCGGGGCCCCGCTAAGCCTTGTGGGCCCCCGCCATGTGTCCTGCCGCATGCCAGGGCAAGCCCTTGACACCCCGGGGGCGCCCGCCGCGCTTCGCTGCTTCATAAAAAGGGCCCTTTCAAGGCCCAGTTCAAATTCTTTTAATCTCCCTCTCTCTCATCATACAGTTGACTCTCACCCTTTCTATCCCAAACCCTTCTTCCTCTCCTCTCGTCCTTTCTCACTTCTTTCTCTCCCTCAACCACCTCCATTATCCCTCATCCATAATCCTCATCATCTCCATTGTTGCACCAAGTAAGAAGGATTTCTTTTGGTGCCTTCCATTGTTGGGTAAGCTTTTATCTCTCCCTCTCTTTCAATTTGTGGATTAACGGAGGATGGGAATCATTGTGTAGATGTGTTGTATGTGTTGGGGCTTGTATATTCTTGATTGCAGGACAAAATTTTTGGGGTTTTCACCATTCTAATCAATTTTTGCCTTTTGAAATTTGTTCTTGCACACCAGGTGTTCGATAGATTGCCTGAACCAACTCCTTCTTCCAAATGACTCCCAAAACCTCTTCCAAGCATGATCACTGCTCTGAGGGACCGTCCGAGGAACCTCCCACGCCAAATTGGGCTGAGTGGCCCATTGAAACCGAGGCCAAATTTGTCATCAAAGACGGCTTTGATGAAAATCCCGAAACGGCGTGGGCGGTCAAAGAATTGACGAACCGTGGCCCAAAATCTCTATTCAAGCCATGCACTAGCTCTTTCTATCCGTGCATCGTCCGCCAGTTCTATTCCAATATGTTTTATTCATGTATGGAGCCGGACATCATAAAGACCACCATTGATGGCATATCTTTTGAATTGACCCTTCATGTCCTTGCTACGGCCTTGGATTGCCCATTGGCATCTCCGGTGGATGAGGTGGGCCTGCCTCTATACGTTAATCCAGTTAATCTGCAATTGTTGAGGAAATTTGCCACAACCATTATACCGACAGTTGAAAATCAAGCACGAATAAGTCGTACCTTTCGTGCCGGCTCTGGTTTGTGGACTCCGTCATTGCCAAAAATGTCCTTCCTGTTCCTAAGCATTCTGAGCGTAAAGGGGTTTTTCTGCACACCCTTTATGCCGCTGTGAAGGAACAATGGTTTTGCTTCTTGCAGCTCATCTGGGACTAGCTTCTCAAAGTCTACAATGATTTTTTTGTGACGTAGTTGGATAATGCCCTCACTTGGGCACTTCCTTTTCCGTACTTGGTCACCAAGCTCATCAAGAATAAATAGTTCAAGGTCCCCCGCGAAGAAGAAAAGAGCACCGAGGTCTTTCTTTTTGACATTAGTGCTTGGACGTCGAGTACCGTCCAGCTTAAGACTTCTCGTCAAGCCCACATTGGTGGTGTGTTTGATTGGGGAGGTCCAGCTATCCCTGTTGCTCCTGCACCGGCTGCTCCCGCACCAATTGTGCCACCACCTCCTACTATATCCCATGCCGATTATGACTCGCTCAGCACTCGTCTTGATACCCTTCAGTTGCGAGTCGATACTATCGAGGGCACCCTTACGGACTTCTGTAAGGAGACTCAGGAAGGACAGCAGGCACTGTAAGCCATGCTGTAGTCTCTGATTGACCGAGCCCCAGGCGGTGCCGGTGGCTCATCCGCCACTCCGATGATGAAGTGATTTTATGCTTTCAGTTTCTATTTTGCTTTTTAGTAGTACTATTTGGATTTATTTTGGGCCACTTTTGGCATGCTTTTCAGTTCCTATTTTGAACTCTTAACTGCAATTGTGTTGTTATTTTGCATGAACACTTGATTTTTAGTTAAATAAATTGCAGTTGTTTCACTACAAGAAAAGTGGGCTTTTACGAGATAGTATTTATGGGATCTTTTATTTTCTCTCATAGAAGCCCTTTTTTACACATAAAGGGTCATGTTTTCACGGGATGTTAATAGAATCCTCGTTCAAAACTGTTTTCATGGGAGTTTAAAGAGCCCGTTAATGTTTACATATATTTACGAATGATTGATTGAACTTTAACAGGGGAAAAAGCCACTCGTAGATTAAATATATTTTTAAGGGAGTATTTTCCTCCCTTGAATATGAAAATTAAAAAAAAAAAAATCCCGCCCTCACTTAATGGGGAAAAAGCCTTTAGTAGATAAATATTTTTAAGGGAGTATTTTCCTCCCGTGAATATGAAAATAAAAATAAAAAATAAAAATCCCGCCCTCACTTAACAGGGAAAAAGCCACTCGTAGATAAATATTTTTAAGGGAGTATTTTCCTCCAGTGAATATGAAAATAAAAATAAAAAATAAAAATCTCGCCCTCACCTAACGGGGAAAAAACCACTGGTAGATAAATATTTTTAAAGGAGTGTTTTCCTCCCGTGAATATGAAAATAAAAATAAAAAATAAAAATCCCGCCCTCACTTACGGGGGAAAAAGTCTCTCGTAGATAAATATATTTTTAAGGGAGTATTTTCCTCCCCGTGAATATGAAAATAAAAATAAAAAATAAAAATCCCGCCCTCACTTTTTGTCTCCCGCGCGCGCAAAAGAGTAACCCGCCAAAAGCCTTTTTTTTTTTCCACGTCACCGACACACAGACCACAAAAGCCTTAATCTTCTTTCTTTCCTAGCCAGTCTCTTAAAATGCCCTAATCTTCTTTCTTCCATTATTTCTGTTGAGGAGGCCGGATCCCACCTTGTTACTTACTCTGCCAACAACACCCAGCCAGTTTCTCCCCTACTAAGGCTGCTATCCATCTCTTTCACACACACTTGGCCAAGAATCAAGTTCACTTCAAAGCTTGCAACAAACAGTATAGTGACATTCCTCTTCAACAATGAAGTTGTAAGAGTAAACCCTTTTCTACTCTGTTTCTCTCACCTCGTTAAAATTTTAATTTCTTTTTTAGGTTTATGAACATTAAAGCATGTAGTTTTCTTTTTGTATACTCTATGTTATTTCTCGTTCTTTGGTCCTGGAAAATCTTCTACAAATTGGACATTCTAAGTGTAAATCTGATTTTGGCACAAAAATTTTCAATGAAGTCATTACTGAAGGTTTTTGTTCACCCAGCCGGATCATTTACCCCATCTCCGCTTGAAGTTCTATCTCAAATCTCTGCCCCGCTTGAAGTTCTCTCTCCTATCTATCTCCATCTCCGCTTGAAGTTCTGGTTCGACAGGGAAAGGAAAGTTGGGCGATCTCAACCAATTTCTACCTTGACCAACACAGAGCTATTTGTTCAACCCTCTCTTTACTCTCTAGAACCGAGGATCCGGACTTACCTTCACTCTTCAGGTAATCTGCAATCCCTCTTTCTCAAACATTTTAAGGGTTTTCTTCAATCCCTATTTCTTAAACAATTTTTAGGGCTAACACATGCATATTTTTTTCTCTGGTTTATTGTCGATTTTATTTGCTGGATTTGCTTTGGTTGTGACTAGATTTGGGTTTTTTTGTTTTCCATTTCATTATTATTATTATTATTATTATTTTTATTTATGGATGTCTTAAATAATAAATTTTATAACAAAACTAATAGAACTAAATTTATTTGAAAAATTATTCCAACAACCTTAAAAGTGAGTTGCAGCATAGCATTACGAAATAGGACAGTCAGTTATTACTAGTTGAGCATGTGCTGTAAGAGTTTGTATGAAAATCTACAATTTCAAAAGTTTTAACATGATGACACCATTAGTCTTGAGGCTTTTGGCTAATAACTTGTACGATTTTTCTCACTAATGTATCACTTAAGATTATTTTTTAGATGAGTTTCTTTTTTTTTATTATAAATCTAAGAATACATGAAAAACAAGTGAATTTTAAAAATAATGGGCTTACAGAAAATCGATGAGTGTACTTTTGATGTTCTGATATTTATGTTTTTTGCTAGATGACAATTTTTATTTTTCAATTGACAAATTAAAGGGGGTGCAAGTGATGAACTAGAGGTTTGGATTGAATTTTTGAAATCAAGAAGTTTAATAAATAGGATTAAAATTGAACATAAGGAATTCAGTTTTAGCAAAAATTAGAAATACTTGGTATAATGTGATATAGATTAAGGGTCAAAAGATATCGAATCATGGATACTTAGTTCAAACCTTTCTTTTGATCAATTGAACATTTCTTCAATTGGCCTGGTAGCCACTGTTTACACTTTACGATCAAAACATGCCAAAACTACTTACAAATAATTCTATCATATTATGTGGTCAACTATGTCTTGTGTTGGTCCACTAAACTACCTATTAGCCATTTCGATACTTTGTTCTGTAAGTCACTTACCTGTACCTAGTGTGAATGACTAATTCATTATAACATAATTCAATTTTAAAACATAATTCAACTACGTCTTGGTTTGGTCCACTAAACTACCTATTAGCCATTCTGATACTTTTTTTCTCTAAGTCACTTACGTGTACCTAGTGTGAATGACTAATTCATTAAAGAATCAGCTGATGAATCACTTTAAAAGTCCCATCTCCAATTTTACACACGTCACTCTGATCTCAAACAATAAGATTAGCAACTCTTTAAAACATAATTTTACCAGTCTTGGTTATATAATTCACAATTTTTAGTTTATGGAACATGCGAACAATTGCTACCATGCCTTGATGAACATATATATTAAAAAGAAAAGGGTAAATTCTATAAAATGATTATAAAATGAAAATACGAATATTGAGATGTGGACACACGGCAAGATCAGAAATGTTGAAATCAGAAAAGATTATTTGTGAAACGTTTAAAGTAGTAACAGCTAAGAGTGAAGACAAGTGAGAAAAATCAGGTAAAATGGTTTAGATATGTGTAATGAGATGAGATCAAGAACTGCAAAAGGGAGGAAGATTGATGTGATCTTGCTTTATTGGTAAGGATAGAGGAAAGGAAATATTAAAATTAACATAGGTTCGGATAAAAAAAAATGATATGATTACTTGTGATTAGGTAGAGTATAATGGAAAATTATGACTCATGTAGCTGATCTTCAATAGTTCGGACAAGGCTTGTTGGGTTCAGTTGTATCAGAACTCGATTTGATATTCTATGTAGCAAGAATTAATGTTCATGTGTTTGTCCGGACCTTTGGTTGTTTTTTATTTCCTCTTTTTGCTGTTTTAAATTTTGTGATACATTTCTTTCCTTATAAGAGGCTATTGCTTGGTGCACTGGTGAAAGCTGATGCCTCAGTTACTATTCATTGCCTCAAATAGTGCATCGAATCCTAGTCAACTCCTACCTATTGGCCTTAGTTTAGCAATAAAAATCACAAAATATTTGATACCATAGATTCCTGTGCACTTTTTTTGTACTTCCTGCACCCTATCGGTCCCTAAGTGGAGCCAATGCCAATCCATTTTTGTCTATAAACCCCAAAAACCTCTTTATTTTATCGAACTCAAAATATCCATGCATTTCTTAGTCGAAGCATAAGAACATAAAACCATTATTTTTTATTTCCCAATGCTGTCCTGTATCAAGAAAATTGTTTATAAGCAAATTAGATGATTCATAAGATCTAACATTCTTTGTTGAGAAAAGAACTTATGACAGATATTCTGTGAAAATTAATTGTTGATAGATATGCAGTGCATCACACTTCTAACTTTGTATAGCATTACAGGTGATTCAGAGAAGTTAATAAAAGTGTTATTTCTTGATGAAATTGATGCAATCTTTAGTCAGCGTGGTGAAGGACACAGTGAGCATGAAGCAAGTAGGCAATTAAAAACTGAGCTACTCATACAGGTGACATATGTTTTTTAGAATTGCAATAATAATATGTAAAAAGCATGCTTATGTAGAACTGAAACACAACTCTTTGACATATAAAAACAAAGCACTAAAAACATCAACGGGTGCAACACTGAACTGGAAATTACCTTAACTAGATATCACACATTATATCTTTTAAGATCTTGTGTAGAGGATCGTTTTTGTCTATTTTGTTGCTATTGTTGGAGCAAAGGCCTTGTAGCATGAAATGAGTGACACTGTGGACTCAGTTGTAGAAATTCCATTTTATGTAATCCATGGAAGTAAATCTTCTCCACAACATTCATCTGATCTACACAATTCCATCGAAAGCAATATCACAGGAATACTATTTTTTGATTAGTTATCCCCATTTGAATAACATCAATTATAGAAATGTTGTGCGCTCTAGGTACTCCTATGTTAGCTTTTTTTGGACATTGAAAACACACTTGTATGAGTCTGAATAACAGCAATTACAGATATGTTGTGTGCTCTAGATACTCCTATGTTAGCTTTTTTGGACATTGAAAACACATTTATATGAGTGTGTTGGAACCAACTATCATTATCCTCACATTTTGAGGTCATTGTTCAACACTGACACCTATGTTAATTTATATTTCACATCATATCTGTGGCTTATGCTTATGGACATTCCTTGCCATGGTATCCAGTACTTCTAAAAAGATTTTGCTATATGATGTCTCTATAATAAATCTTCATTTTGTGCATAAGTAAATCACATAAAAATTCATATATGATTTCATCTCTACTTTCACAAAAATTAATGGCTAGAGTTACACTACAGATGGATGGTTTGACGCGGACAGATGAGCTTGTTTTTATTTTGGCGGCAATAAATCTTCCTTGGGAACTAGATGCTGCTATGCTCCGACGTCTTGAGAAACGGGTATCCTTTGAGAGGCTAATTTATACTTCCTTTCTGCATTGAGAGGTTCTATAGTTTAAATGTTAATTGTCAAATTTGTGTTTTATAATGAGCTTACTAACTGTGGGACAAGTCCTAATTATATTAATACAAATCATATTCTTACATGATGTGAATGACTTCTTTGCTGCCGTATCATACGGCTGCTCATGCAATTCATATAAAAAGTCATGAAAAATTTATAAACACAAGTTATTGGCATGCAAAAGTGGGAGTTGATTGACTGCTTGAGAAATTTTATTGTTGAAATACTTATCTGCTCTAAATTACCTTAATTTTTTTATAAAAAAAAAGTGCTATTTGTTCTTTTTTTTTTTTGTCAAGAAAAGAAAAATAAAAAACAGGTTATTGTTATGCACAAAGTGGAAGTTCACTGATTGCTTTATAAATTTCATTGCTAAATTACCTATATTGGAAACAGCTTATCTTTTTATTTTTATTTCAAAGGAACAGCATAATTAGAATCTTAGATAGTGTCAGTTTTATAATCTGGTGTTTGTACATGAGAAATTATTACATGGTCTCGGGCAAATCATGTGTTGATACATACGCAAATGTGTCAGCTTTATTTCATTTTTTGCTTATGACTCAACACGTGATTGGTCGGGACCAATGGTCCCAGGACCATGTTATAATTACTCGTTAGTGTGTAGACGCTTCACTTACTCAAGGCATAAAATATGTAAGGGTTGGTGGTGTTCCCTACATTTTTACTCTTTTTTTTTTTTTTAAGCACATTTTTACTCCTTTCTCACAAATTTAATTGCCGAAGTTTTAGTTCAATAATGGTCTTACATTCTATGAATGAGAAAATTGCACAACATTTCAGCTTATATTAAATATTGAATATTATATATTGAACAGTTCTTTTAACCATGCTATAAGTTCCTTGTACCTCTCCCGGAACCAGAAGCAAGAAGAGTAATGGCATTACTCTTCTTGGTTGAAAGGACAGAAGGTTATTCAGGTTCAGATATTCAGTTAGTGTGCAATGAAGCTGCCATGCAACCACTAAGAAGAGTAATGGCATTACTTGAAGAAAACCAAGAAGTTGTGCCTGAGGACGGTACGTCACTCTAAAGATTTCATTTATATGCTAGTTAGATACTTAATTACTTATGGAACTGCTCCCTTGTGAACCGAAGGATGACCTACTTTCTTGGGAACCATATTCTTGATTTATTTCTTCCCTTCTCTACATTCATTTATCCATAGGGCATTCTCTTTTGTGTAGCATTTGAAAACACAAATTAGTAATGTTACTCGGAGTCTTCTTGACGGAAATACACACACACACACACACACACACACACACATTTTAACAACTTTGAAAACATATAGACTCACTTAAGTAAAATGCTACTAGAAAATCCCAGTCAACTTGTTTCAAATCCTATGTTAAACACTATAGACAGATTCAATATCCATGGGATGTCCAATCACTCCATATATGCATACCTTTAGATGCATAACCATGGCTTGAGATAATTTGTGCTAGTTGGATGTTTTAAATTTTTGAAGAACTCTCAACATTCTTTTTATCCCACAGGATTTGTTTATGTCTATCATTGGCCTAAATATTTCTTGATATAGTTCATATTCGAAAGCAATTTGTTGCACAGTTCTAGTTTGACATAAAATTGGTCCGTTAAAACATAGTAATAGGGTTGTCAAGAAAGTTGTAGCTGGAGCCTAGACAAGGGGTAGCTATATAAGGAAACAACATACTGTTACTTGTTATAGTCCTACAGATAATATTGGAATGATATGTCACATTTCACTGTCATGAATAGAGAATACTCTCCTTGATTAAACATGTCCTTATTAAATTTATTTTTGGATTTCATTTTTATAATTGTTCCTCTATTTCTCTTTCGCATTCTAAGAGTGGTGCGCATGTTTGAGGACTAGTGTGTGTGTATACGTGAGCTATTTCTTTGTGTAATCATGGCTTGAGATACTACGTGTGTGTTTGTTATAATCATTTGAAAAATATTCATATTTCCTCCTTTATTCCCAAATCATCTTTCCTATTCTTTGATATGATTTAATATTGTCCATCTTTGGCAAAACAAAATTCAAAATCAATGTGCTGCACAGTTTCAATTTGGTTCACTTAAATATAGTAACAGGGTTCTCGCGAAAGTTTAAGCTGGAGTGCCGAAAGAGGGTAGCTATATCAGAAGACAACATAGTCTTAAATGTTATAAATAATAACAGTAATGACATGGCACATCAACTTGCTATGAATAGAAAATCCAGTCTTTAATAGAACATGTCCATATTAAATGTATTTTTGTAATTTACTTTTATCTATTATTTCTTTGTGTTTTTTCCTCTGAGAGTGATTAATAGGCTATTTTGTCTGGACATGTGTTTTTTTTTTTTTTGGTTGACGGGGAGCGTTCAGGAAGCAGGGGAGAGAGACCAATCCTTTTGCCTAGTTAAAGAAACTGCTGTTGTGAAGTGGCATTAGTGCTTACATACTTGGTGGGTCACTGCTGAGGTCTAAATCTTAAGATTTGAAATTGAGTAAGAACGGGGGAGGGTGGAATCATTGTTTTTAATGAATTTTTGGAACTGGTTTGGTTAATTTAAGCTTTAAAGGATTGTCCTTTGCATTGAGCAAACCAATCTGGAATTTTTTATCTTCGTGATGCTCGCACAAGCATGGTTTTATGGCCTACCAAATATGTGAAAATTCTAGAGGTCAACTGGTCATTCATTAACCTTTATTATTATTTTTATTTGAAAAGTAGTAATTAACATATGATTTGATTTGATTTTCTTTTATTTTTTTATATATGTTGGCATTACATTTTTAATTTTTTTCCTCACAGGATCTATTTTAACCATCTTATTAGGAGCATAACAAAACCATTACTTTTGAAGTAAGATTAGGAGTATAGTTCTGGTTCTCAATCTTCATCTCTGGCAGGTATGTTCTGAATTCTACTAGCTAATGAAGTTCATTTATCAATTATCTCTATGTGAAGTCATATGTCCTTGTAGTGGCCATTACGTTAATGTTGAAAGCATGGGTCCTTATTGTGGCCATTACTTTATTGCATTGATATAACATGGGAGTATGGGAACATCGTATGTGGAGGTTGTGGTTGATTATTATTTGTTGTTGATTGTTGTGAAGTTGTTGTTGGTTATTGTTGCGTACGTAAGGTAGAAAGTTTCTTAGCATTCCTCTCATTCCAATTTTAATCATCACATCACTCCAATGGAATACCACAATATGAATCTTGGTTATCTAGACCCCAATATGATCCAACAACCTTTTCTAGGTCAAATCCTTCCTGGAGTTTAAGCTCCAAAGCCTAGAGGACTTGTGTTTCTTGTACATATGCTCCACTGAGATGAATAGAAAATTACTTCCCCCACATGGTTTAATAACAAAAAAATGAAAAAAAAGTAACAATAACATTTGATTTAAAAATAACAAAAAATCAAACTTTTCCTCCAAATTTGTTACTTTCTCCATTAGTTGCACATTTCTTTCCTCAGCAATTTCCACCCTTTTCCTTGAAGCCTCTTCATAAGATGAGGATGCACGTTGACGGCTTTGAACTACAAAACCATTTTCGAGCCCACGGAGATATCCCTTTCTAATACTTAGTTGGTTTTTGCACTATCTCAACATCATTTATGATTCAACTGGTACCATTAGAATTTTGGGAAACTTGTGCAGCCTTCTTTTTCATTTCATCTTGCAATTAAGTTGTTTTGCTACATTATTGACATTTCTAAAGACATAATTAAAATTTAGAAGTTTAACCAACTCCCTTGAGTTTTTTGGAGTATCTATCACATTCATAGCATTATGCTATCAAAAAACCATCTATGCATCTTAAGCTATTATCTTTGCAAAACGTATCAGAAAAAAACCAATTTGATATCATGTAAACAGAAGTGTGTGTTTTTTGTATTCTTCTATGAAAACAAAATATCATGTAAACAATCACAAAAGTAAATGCCCAATTCATATACTGCTAGATGGATAAGGAAGTTATGGAAATTAAAAGAATTGACAAGTCAGGCAGAGACCACGTCATCTCTATATTAAAATTTCCCAAACTTAAATATGGGATAACCATATTTATTAACAAAATGAGTCATGTTTGTTCTCAATTGAGCTAAACAAAGAAATCAAACTGAAGATGAAAAATGAAAATAGTGATTATTTGTTTTTGTTCTTTCCTTTTCTATCTAAAACTCCAAAACAAAGGGAGGATTATGGCCTTCTCTTTCTTTCTTTTGATGGGATAACCCTTATCCCTTCCCTTTGTTTTTCAAATTAATCTATAGATTTTTATAAAGAATTCTAATGAATTAAAGAAGATTTTAGACATAGAAATCTAGAACAGTACTTAATTTCTATCTCTGGTGCAGCAGATAACAACTTCTTCAGCCCCATTTCAAGTTTTTCAGCAGATGCCCCGTTTATTGCAAAGGTTGATTTTATGCTTCATAGTATAAGAAGAGTTTAATGAAGTATATAATTCTCCTTATATAGAGGGGTTATCCAATCTTCTACAATAATAAAGGCAAGAGTCTCTTATAAGTACAAACAAAAGACAACACAAAGAAAACCTTGACAAGAAAATATGTAAGAAAGCTAAAAATTAAAGGATAGTTTAACCTCTCCTCCATAATAAAATTATGTTTAGTCCCAACTCCCAACAAATTTAGTACAAGTAAACTCCAAAATGATATTAGAGGATTGACAACTAACATTAGCAATTCTACTACAGATTCTCGTGAGAAATTTATTTCAATCTCTAATAATAATTAATTAATTAATCAATAAAATAAATGCTCCCTCCTTCTACAGTACTAGAACAGTAGGTTGACCAGTTAGCATGCTTAAAAGATATGCTAGCAATCGAAGTCAAAGTACCAACAAGTCAGAAATGAGCTATGTTAATAAGAAAATTTTCTGAGGAAGATGTAAGTTAAATTTTCAAAAACAACTTAACGAACCCATTTTGAAGAAGATTCAAGTAAAATTTTCAAAAAGTCAAACCCAATAAAACAAGAAGTGGTAAGCAGATTTCCAACCCCCCTTCCACCTCCCCACCACCAGTTCTGAATTTCCATCTCTGGTGCAGGAGATAGAAACTTCTTCAGCCCCATTCGACCAGTTCTGTATTTTTTTCGTTTTCAATTAAGACACTGTTGGCATTTTCTTTCCCTTTCAATTAAGAAACTAACTTAACAACCGTATATCTAGATCTTAAATGCTAATAGCCTAAGATTAATGATTCTAGTACTAATAAACAATTTTTTCATTACCTGAGACCCCATGAAAACATCTAGAAGGGAACAACAAATGTCAGCCATAGTGCCATTCAATAAGTTGAACACAAAATATTAGTAAAGCAAAGACGGCTCCAGACTTGGTTTGAAATAAAATAAACGTAAATTCTCTAAGCAGATTGGTGTGTCACCTCATATTTAATATAACTGCAAGATAAAATAAAGACCATTCAATGTAAACAGTGCTCACCTGCAATTATCAAGACTCGTCTTCTTTTTTGCAAGCATATCCTTCAACCTCTCAAGGGTAGCAACAACGAAATGCACACACTCACACACTTTTTCACGACCTCTAACTACGATCTCATATCAACCCCCCAATGCAAAGTAATGGTCTCAATTTTGGATCGCCATGCTCCCTCAAGGGAACTAGAAACTGCTCCACAACTTCACAGTTCTGCAGAGCAAGCCCTCTTTATTGGCAAATTATCAACCCAAATGGCCCTTCCCAATAGATTCAGTAGTACCAACTTTAAGATGTCGAACCCAATTTAGTATCGCATGAATGATCAATCTGAAAAAGAATTGAAGGTAATATTACCAAACCCATCCTATATATATGTAATGACGCAAATTCACACAACAATTTTAGTGTAGATACATGTGTCAAATCTCTCTAATTGTATGAGGATAAAACCAGTTTCAATGCTATATTTTCACACAAATTTCTCTCCTCCGATCAAATTTTCTCTTCAACCAAACAAGTCAACACAAACAAATCAAAAAACAAAACAATCACTAAAATCACAGCCAAATGAATTGAAGCTAGTGTAACAAAAATTCTTCCATGTATGCAATGATGTTCACACAGAAATTCCAGTGTGTATATATATATGTGTGTGTTTGTGAAATCTCTCTCTATTTTCACTTGTTGATATGATTCTAATAATTTCTTGTAGTATATTATGTTGAAGCCAATGAGTTCTCTAATATGTCCTCTTGAACTAATTATTAGCATGAGCTTAGCTTTGTTGTTGTTTTACAACTATTAACTATATTTGTTCCATGTTAAAGTTGTTATTTTTTCTTTAATGTCAAACTATCAATGTGCCTTAGAGATTTAAAAGAGCATAACAGTTATGTTTCTTATATTCTATGTCTAAACCTTTATTAGCAGTTGACATTCCTGGTAATCATGTTTTAGATGCAGAACTTGCACTTGCAGGGTGTTTACCCTTTTTTTGACCTTTTTGTTCTATCTGGAATTGGACGGTTGCTTGACGGAGTTGAATCCCTGGCAAAGCATGGGCATGTGGATTGCATATTTCTTTTAGGTTTTTTTTTTTTTATTATTGTTTTTGGCTTCTCAAAGTGTGGGACTCCATTTTTTTATCACACATTGGTAAATATTTTAGAGAGTGAAATAGAAAACTAGCATTTTGTCATTACTTCATATACATTATTATTATACTAAAATTAGGACTTGTGTGATGTAGGTACTTGCTTGGATTTTGTACAATGGACAACGAAGTGAAGGAAGTGTGAAAAATTGGAAGCCAACTTGCGCCAAGAATTAATGAACAATGTGAAGATTGATATTTATTTTTGGGAAATATTAAATTTTCTTTTTAATTTTGGCACGTTGAACAATTAATGATGAATTGTAAATTAATGTCTTACTCTTTTGATATATATTTAATAGTGAATTTAAACATGAATTATTTTTGGTATTGGTATTAAGTGTAAATTTTGGGCATTTTATATAATTGTTTAGTTGAAATTGTTGCCAGGTTATCTATGTGAATGATTGGGTAATAGAGTGCATTAATTTATATATATATATATATAGTTATCTACAAGTGACTTTAGACCTCGTAAATAAAATATATAGATGTATTGACAAGAGGCCAAATGTGTCGTATATTAATTACTAACGAGAGGCCATATACCACATTAATTAATTATTAACGAGAGGCCATGTACTACATTAATTAATTATTAACGAGTGGATAAAGAACTCGTTAATTAAGTATTAACGAGATGTCATCGCTCTTGTAAATTAATTATTCACAAGTGGATAAACAACTCGTTAATTGATTAATAATGACATTTCATTTACCTCGTAAATTAATTATTAACGAAAGGCCAGAAATCTTGTGAGAGTTTTATTTACGGGAAGTTAGAATCGTCGTGCCTTAATCTTTTACGAGAGTTATTATTTCCCGTAGCAAGTGGAGAGTATTTACAGGACCATAATAGACGAAGGCTTAAAAGTCCCATGAAAAAGTTTTCACGGGAGGTCCACACACTCGTAAAAGACCTTCTTTTTTTTCGCATAAATTAATTATTAACCAGAGGCTAGTAGTTTCGTAAATTAATTATTAACGAAAGGCTAGAAATCTCGTGAGAGTTTTATTTACGGGAAGCTAGAATGGTCGTGCTTTAATCTTTTACGAGTGTTTTTATTTCTCGAAGCAAGTGGGGAGTATTTACAGGACCATAATAAACGAAGGGCTCAAAAGTCCCGTGAAAAAGTTTTCACGAGAGGTCCAGACATTCGTAAATGACCTATTTTCTTGTAGTGTTTAATTTTCTCTCTGCCTGGATTTATATGATGCTTGTTGTGCATAGATGTGTTTTGACAGGTTTTTAAAATCAAGTTTGGGGGCGTTACTTCTAGAATTCGCATAGTGGTCTGTTTACACCGCCACTGATTTTTCCCCCACTTGGTATTATTGCTCTTTGTACCTTCTTTTTTCAATTCCAATTCCATTCTTTGTCTTCTCACATTGAGGACAATGTGACATTCAAGTTTGGGGGTACATTATTGCATTTTTGGTATTACATTTTTGTTTGCATGCGCTAATTGTTCATGTAAAGTAATAAAATCATTTTTTGGAAAGCAATGATTCTGTAATTTGGAACTTGTTGGAGATTGAAGCATATGCTTAATACTTTGTGTATAAAGGCAAATGATAGTTTTGAAAATAAAGAAAAATATGAAATGATCATGTTGATTGAAATCGGTTTATATAAATGCTTCAATTAGATTTTCGTCAGATTTCATACTCTTCTATGCTTCACACTGCACAGATGCACACCAAAAACTTAATTGTGAGGCATGTTACCTGATTTACCTTGACCATGACTCAGTTGATTTGAATTGATGACCCTAATGAATGGATATCTTTGGCATTGATCTAAAATAATAATAATAATAATAATAATAATAATAATAATAATAAAAAAAAAAATAAGGATAATGACTAGTTTAAGTTCGTAGCCTTACTAACTCGAGTTATTAAGCCCATGGAGTGTCGTTACACTTAGCACCCTAAAGCCATCTGGTTTGGGAGTTGCTGGCCTAACACTTGCTACATGGGTTAGTTAGAAAACTTAAGGGACTTAGGCATTACACGGTCATTCACAAAAATAAAAATAAATAAATATGGTTTATTGGAATTCGTAGCCTTGCCAACTTGAGTTATTAAGCCCTTGGAGTGTCTTTACACTTAGCACCCTAAAGCCATCCGGTTTGGGAGTTGCTGGCCTAACATTTGCTACATGGGTCGGTTAGAAAGCTTAAGGGACTTTGGCATTGCACGACCATAATATGTATCTAAAAAAAAAAAGTAATAAAAATGTGTATTTTGAATAAATCATGCCTTAGAGACTTCATTTAAAAGGGAAATTCAATGATTTGAAGACTTATGTTTTAAAATTGAAAAAAGAAGGTAAAAGCCACATATTGGGAATCTGGTTCACTTTCATTGAAGTTAGAGTTGATTTCTATTAAAGAGATAACAATTTAAGTATTTATATAGACTATAATGTTGATGCATGAGATGTGAAATGTGTTTAGCCATTGTGTTATATCAAGGCTTCATATACACAGGGTAGTCTGTAAAATGATTCCGTCTCCAATACTCTGTGTGTTCTAAGTTGATAGTGAGCTGTGTGTGTATTTTCTTGCACCATGATTGATGTATGTTGATAACATTTCAAATGTTGTTATTTTGTTAAGATCTTCATTTTTGGTTTTGCTATGGGACTGGCAAAATATAAGTTTGGGGGTGTGATAAGCGCCGAATATTGCATATTCAAGCACACTTATTTGCATTAGTTAAGTCCATTAGTTGATCATATTGTACATATTAGCTTCATTTGCGTGTTTTTGTTTACTTTCAGGTTGGTTCCCCAAAGATAGTTAAAAGTGCGGCTTTGTTGAATTGTTAAAGAATCAGAGCATGCCGTTGCCAGGGACCTTCATTTTGGCTAAGCTAATGATCCATTGAACTCATGGTTATCCCTGCAAAAAGTGCTAAGAACAATGATCGTGTCATCGGGCTGAGTTGAAGCAAATTCAAGAAGTAATTCAAGCCTAAGTTGCAGCATTGCAGACGCTCGCAATTCTAGGCAGAAAGATTCAAAATTTACAAGGGCTGCAAAGCACTGCAGGCCCCCACCAAGAGCCTTGGGGAGCACCCCTAACACCATGTGGGCGCCCGCAAGGAGCTGCGGCAGCCCGCCATTTCATCCAGAGAATTTCAAATTTTACAAAGGCCTGCAATGCACTACAGGCCCCCGCCAAGGGCCACCCCTGATGCTATGCGGGAGCCCGCCGATCTGCAAAAAGTAGGCCACCCACTCCATGGATTTGCTCAAGTTGTCCCCTTGACCCAATGCGTGGTTTTGCAATCTTCTAGGGATGGTAAGCCACGAAATTAGAATGGTTTGGAGGCTATATTTGATTTATAGATGGCTTGTATGGTGGTAAAGATATATCTCATCTTGTAAGACATTTATAGGGCGGGAAATATTGGGTTCCTGAGAGCTTGGCTTGTGGGTGGCCTCTAAGTGCGAAAATGGAAGGGTTCCTTATCTCTACTCCTTCCGCCTTTGTGTCTATGGGTAACTAACTCCCTTTCTAGGGAGGTGATGAAGCCCCTTCTTGTAAGCATGCCTTAGTTTTGGTTTATTTTGGGGAATGATGTTTATATGTGGTTGTTTCATAATCTAGAGCTTGCACTTGATGTAATAGACCTAAATTTCTATAAATGATCATGTTGAACGTATTATCTTGTCTTAGATTGTATGTTCTCATGATTGTATGGCTTGCATTTTCATAGTGACAATGAAAATGTGATTGTAAAATGGTTTTAATGGCATGTTGTTTGAGAAGCTTGATAGTCTATGGCTTAGGTCCTTCATTTGATGGTCTATTCTTGATTTTTAACTTGATGTGCTTGTATCATTTGATTAAAGGCTTGATAATCTCTAGCTTAGTGAGCATGTCTAAGGCTACACCCTAGTTTAGGTAGTTCAAGCATTTAAAACTTTGATAGGTTATTCTTGCCTCTTGATTTCATGAATTTCTTAAAGATATTGTAGCAACCATGTGTTGCTACATATCATGGCCACTATATATGTTGTTTCCCTAAGTTTATCATAATCTAGCATGTTTATATAGCAGGTAGTGGATTCACTTCCCTAGTCCTTTCTACCTAGATTTCCTTCATCTTAAGTTACTTTAATTTATTGTTTATGCACATTTTAATTCCAAGTACCAAGTGACAAACCAATCAAAACTCAATACCTCCTTCATCAAAACTAAAAGTGATTTCAAAGACCTTGGTTGCCATAAACTAGCAATCTCTGTGGTTCGACTTACCTGTCCAATAGCCCTATTTTACAATGATTTGTGCTATTGCAAAGGGTTGATTATAATTGTAACTGGATCGACTGGCTAGTTTTGAGTCGGGTGTAGAATCCAATGGGTTTTGTGTATAATGTTATGAGTGATGAGTACCCTCATAGGGTGGTGAGCATTGTGTTTTAGCGACAATGGTTTTTGATTGCCTGGTTACGTCCGGTGTCAAAGGCAATAATGTTGATGAGTCCATGGTCTAGTGGTTTTGTGAGGTGTTCTCAGGAAGGTTTGTGGCTGTGAGCTTCCTTCTCCAAGGACGGTAGATTTCGAGGATGAAATCTTTTAAGGAGGGTAGAATGCAATGTTTCCGATTTTCGCCATTTTTTATTTTTTGAAATTTTCTGATTTTACAAGGGTATTTTTGTCTTTTCTCGTTTTACATACTGGATTCCATGGGGTATGTTGGGTGTGTCTAAGAGTTGTGTGGGACAATTCCTTGCGTTCGAAACTCTTAGAAATGCACTGATTGCCATTTTGACATATTTCTGTTTTTCGTGCTGGAAAGTTTCGGGTGGAACCCGTTACCGGGACTGTTGTGTACGGGGACTATGTTTTGGGTCCATTACATTTCCTGCATATTTATTTCGGGTATATTTACATTATTGTGATTTCAAAATTTTGTGGTTGGAATTTGTTACATAAAAATATATTTATTTTAAAAGTGGGATGTTCTTATTTTTTTGGTGGGACCCACCATCATTCTTTTTAAAAAGGGGCAAAAGGCCATTTTTCTTGGCCTCAAAATTCACTCTCTATCTCACGTTTTTCTCTCTCCTTCTCTCCTTTCCTTTTTTTTTCCATCAAATTCAAGCCTTGATCTCTCTTCCTATTGAGAATTTGATAGCACCACTTAAGGCAAAGTTGGAGAGCTCGTCGTGGCCGTCATTTTGATTGGAGACAATCTCCGTTTGGCCGCCGTGGGAATTTTGAATTTTAGGGCATAATTTGGGGCTTTTTATACAAATTGAGGTAGGGATCTCTAATCCACAATCTCTTGGGTTTTTGTGAGTCAATTCCTCT